AGAAAGGAAACGTTAATCAAATGAAGACTTCTCAGTATGCACTCCGGAGCAAGGTCTTGTGTCCTAACAGGCTGCCTTAGTAAAAAGAAACCCTTCAGCCCTGATACTGGGGTTGTGAGGCCCCAGGGCTGCAAAAGAGAGCCTGACAAGAGCAATGATGCTCGCTGACTGCCCGCCGGACCCTGCCCGAGCATCGTGTATGGTGGTGACATCACCAGCACCAGCGCTGAACCAGCAGGGCTGGGTGTGAACTGGCCCCCACTGCCTGCTGGCTGTGTGGCCTTGGGAAAGTCCCCTGAACTTTCTGAGCCCGTTTTCTCTTTATGTGTAAGTGGAAATAACCAAACCACCGCTGAGGTTATGCAAGGGGGGAGGGAAGACTTCTACAGAAAACACTTAACAGGGCTGACATGGGAGGGGTTTGGGAGATGCTACCTACTGTTACTACCTACACAGTGTCTTCTATGACGACAGTGTGAATTCAGCTCACAGGAGGTTGAAAGCAGCAGGAGAAGACAAGCATGCTGAAGCACTCACCAGGAGAAAGAGTGCTGGGGAAATGCCAGAGGCGGCAGGGGGAGACGCCCCACCCGCAACAAAAGCCCACTCCTACTTCTCTTCCCACAGGAAGATTACACACCCACTGGCCAGAGATAATAAAACAGATGTCAGGATCAGAAATGATGTTGCTTTAGGGGCTTCCCTGGTGGCGCAGTGGTTGAGAGTCCGCCTGCCGATGCAGGGGACGCGGGTTCATGCCCCGGTCCGGGAAGATCCCACATGCCACAGAGCGGCTGGGCCCGTGAGCCATGGCCGCTGAGCCTGCGCGTCCGGAGCCTGTGCTCCGCCACGGGAGAGGCCACAGCAGTGAGAGGCCCGTGTACCGCAAAAAAAAAAAAAGAAAGAAAGAAAGAAAAGATGTTGCTTTGATAAGCTCTATTACACAAACATATAAATGAAACATTTTAGTTAAAACGAAAAGTAAATCTTCCTTATAGTCATTTAAACTACAACTAGAGTAGTTGTACTTTAGCGTCCAAACAAAACTATTTATATGGCTTTAAAGTTGTCAAGTTACAGTATTAAGGAGAAAACCACTTGAAACTCTGGCCCTCCCCCAAATGAATACATGAGGCGCAGAAAGGGGATTTTAGTGGTGGTATGCAGTCAAGCACATGGCAATTCTGCATCACTTAATCTTGGATGGAGTCAAAATAGTGCTTTGTTTAACTCAGAAGAAGTTCATTTACTTAATTTTATCTAGACTGTCTGAATAATGAAAGTTCTGGTAAATCCATTCCATGAAAATATGGAAATAAGCTGCTTTAAAACACACACACACACAGAGTAAAATTTGGGTGGCCCAGAGTAAAAGCAGTAAAGTAAATAAAAGTTCCTCTTCTCCCTGACCCACGTCTAACATATAGCGAGATGTCACAGGCTTATTGCCTTAACAGGTTAGCATTTCGAACCTTATGGCCAATGGGGCTCCAAGATTAAAACTTTTAAATATGATCAGATATTTCGGAAACACTGGCATATGAGTAACTAGTCATAAACATTTCCTTTCCATAAAGATGTTTAATAAATAAGTAAATAACTAAAGTCTGTGGGTTCCGGGAAAAACAACAACAACACATTTCCTTTGCTGAGTCACACAGCCTGATTTTTCAGGGATAAGAATTTCCTCTTGAACGCTGCCTTTTGAGGGGCAAACACACCGCACCAACTTGTGGCCTCATAATTCTGTAGAAACCAGATAAGAACCTCACTCTAATCAGGTAATACACCAATCAACTTTGCCTGAAAACACTTCAGCTGCTATAAATAACTCGATTTCCTGTGCTCACTGTAAGTGGCAGTTTAGACGGCACGGTTTACAAGAAGTTTGCTAAGGAGGCTTCCACTACTTTGATACTAGCTCAGGCTGAACAGAAACTAACCCTTAAAGAAAAAGGGAAGTTGAGTCTCCATCTTTGCCCTAGTGGGACACTCTTACTACTATGAGGAAAGAACTAACTTACTGTTTTTATATCTTAACTGTTTGGGAAAACGATTCGTCTAAAGCAAACCATGATTCCAATGCTCAAAGGTCTCCCGTTGAGCCCAGCAGGGTCGGCCCCCCAGCACTGTGTTCACCCACCCCCGTTCATGCACATGTCCCCTCGCCACCAGGACCTGGGGACCTGCGCACTGGTACCTACAGTAAGATGAGACTTGGGGGTTCACGTTCTACCCTGATAGCCTCTCTCAGAATGGGGCTGGTCGTCTGTGAGGACTTAGTGCTAATCAGTATGTGGAAAACTTCCAGAGGTGACACAACCCGGCAGGAACATGGGGAAGTTACAAAAGTTAAAGAAACATGGTTTCTACGCTGTCCTCTCCTGCAAGGAGCCTGGACTTCCTGCTCGGATCCTGCTTTTTTCTTTGCCCCATGAGATGGAGCTGGACAAGTCCATCTCCTCCTGCCAACCCCAGCTCTGGCCTCACACCCAGGTGGCCCCAGCCCTCCTCCTCCCCTGGTGACCCCTGTTCCCGGGACACAGGGTCTCTGGGCACAGAACACAAGCCAGCACAAGCCAATCTGAAATGCCCACCGTTCTCCCGCTGGAACACTACCGCCCAGGGTGGCTGCTGAGCGACTCCTTCTGACACACCCCACCCCACCCCACTGGTCCTTCAGCAACGGTTTCCTTTCCTTTTTTTTTTTTTGCGGTATGCGGGCCTCTCACTGTTGTGGCCTCTCCCGTTGCGGAGCACAGGCTCCGGACGCGCAGGCTCAGCGGCCATGGCTCACGGGCCCAGCCGCTCCGCGGCATGTGGGATCTTCCCAGACCCGGGCACGAACCCGCGTCCCCTGCATCGGCAGGCGGACTCTCAACCACTGCGCCACCAGGGAAGCCCAACGGTTTCCTTTTCAACCATTAACCTCAAAAAACAGTCCTACTCTAAAAAAGTTTTTGCTGCTATTTACTTGAGCAAGTTCACAATTGATTACTGAAAACCCCTAGGACCAAATGTGTTTCAGAATTCAACATTTTTGGATTTTAGAAAGGTAACAAGATGCATACACCATATATTCTGTAACAACCCAGAGTAACAGCCCTTAATCAAGAAACTTAACAGGGCTGCAGAGAAATGTACGAATATTCACACTGAGAAGAATAAAGACTGAAAATAGCCTCCCATCGGCCAAATGGGACCTGGGGACCTTGGCACAGATACCTACAATAAGATGAGACTTGGGGGCCTCGAAGAGCCTCCCATCACCGCCAAATGAATCCTGCTGACAACTTACAAAAAAGAGAAACAACTTCTGATTTTCAGAGCTTACTGGATCCTGGAACTCGGGGTAGGAGGTGGGCTGTGCCCACCGAGCACCTCCTCACTCGGCAGCTGTCCCCGTCTCTCCTGTCACCAGCTCCCAGCAGCATCTCTGTGAAGCACGCATCTCGACCAGATCCAGTCCCAGGGTTAAGTTAAGGGTTAATGAGAGCGTGCAGCCAGCGCCTTCGGGCGACAGGTGTTATTTCTACTCCTGCCTCTGACGGCCTGGCGCTCCCTTCCTCACATCCTGTTCTCCATGGTCACTCTTTTCTTCTCCTTGCCCAGCAGTTCATTCCTCTGAGCTCAGATCTTGCCCAGGATTAACATCAGCCTGTTCTTGCCATCTATGGTTTGCCTAGGCGGCTCCTCGGGAGCTTGGGCATCTCTCAGCGGCGTTCCCATCCTTCTTTCCTCCAAGGGCCCTTCCCTGATGGTGATTCAAGGATCTCTCTGTAGGTTCCCAAGTAGGTTAAGGGGTAGGAACCAGCTCCAAAGGCCTGGTCCAGGGGTGGAACATTATGTCAGGTCAGAGGAGCACACTAACGAGGACCTTAAAAATACCCACCCGCCTGTCCTCAGCAAGGAGTGTCATTTTCAAGCGTGTATTCATCAGAATCTATTTCTACACTCCTCTCTGGTGTTGACCGGGAAGCTCAGGGCAGGGCAGTCTTATTCATCTTGAATCCTCCACAAACACTCAGTAGGTGACTAATTCCTACCTGCTGAAGGAGTGATTATTTGGGGTTCACACTTTTATCAAGGTTCCACACAGGCCGGATAAAGTGGAAATCTAGGGTCTCTCTCCCTGTCTGCGGTACTAACTTAATGATGTGCTTCTTTTCCAAACTACGCCCTTTCACCTTTAAATATTCCCATTCATCATCAACCACAAGCCACATGAAAAGGGGTAGTTACTAACCTTCCCCACCTCACCCCCTGCCCGATTTTAACGCCAAACTACTCCCACATCCATGGTTCCAACGCTGGGTGCTGAGCCGGATAACTGCAAAATCCCCCAGAGGGAGGATCCCCTTCGGACCCGGTGACCCCAGGAGACCAGTCAAAGTGGATCTGGGGACTGGGGTCCTTGGGGGAACTAGAGAAACCGGGTGCAACGCATTGGTTCTAAGGTCCAGCGCAGGGTAAGTGCTCCAAGCCACCCAGCCACTGGGGGCGCCAGCCTCAGAGCGAGGGCACCGCCTCTGGGCACCAGTTCCTAGGTACTGTATTTTGTAAAACATCAAACTAGAAGCTCTGAGCGAAACTCTAGACCACGCGCAGGTCTCACACCTCGGCTGGATCCGCGGCCGAGTCTCGCAGCTGGGCAGAGCCCGTCAAAAGGCCGTAACTGCGGGCAGAGGGGACCAGACGAAGTTCCTTTCCGTCCTGCTGAGGGGCGTTGCCCAGGGAAATGTGCTTTCCAGAGCGCAAGGCGGGGGGGCAGTGCACACCGAGCCGCGAACTGAACCGAGAGCAGGCCACCACCCCCCGCCCATGCTCGCGTGGGGACGTTCGTTTAAGGGGGTCCCCGGCCAGGCGAGGCAGCCCCACACCTCCCCGGGCACAGATGATTGGGGCGGAAGGTGCCGCCTGCCCTTGGCTCCTAGAACATCAATAAGGACCAAACACTGGCAATCAGAACCAAAAGTTTCGAAAATGTGTTTTCTTCTTACCAGTCTCTGAGCTTCTGGGCTCAGACAGTCAATTTCCTGGTTCTGCGCGGCCGCAGGGTTGGTCATCCTGCCGGCTGCAGGTCCACCTTCTCACACAGCAGGGAAAGGGAGCCAACGCCCGGCTCCCCGGATCCGCGAGCGGGCCGGCTCTCAGCGCAGCCACATGCCGAGAACGGCGGGGCTACTGCCCAGAGACAAATCCGCGCGTCGGGACGGGAACCTCGCCCTTCCCAAGGCGGGGTCGCGCCTCCGCGGTTCCGGGGCTGGAGTGCGGCCGAAGGGGCGGGGCGCAGGTGGCGGAGCCCGGGAGCCCGCGGGCCTGGGGTGGCGGCACCCGGGAGAAGAGCAGTTGGGGCCGCCCCCAGCCCTCCTCCCACAAGCGTCCCGCCCGCGCTCCACCACGCACCCCGCCCGGCCCGTTCTCAGCGAGCGCTCCTCCCCGCGCCCCAGCGGCGCGGTTATTAATCATCACCCAGCCCTCCTCCGCCCCCCACCCGAAAGGCGGTGGGAAAAAAAGACCGTAGCCGGCCGCGCCCACAGCCCCCGTCGGCCGCCCACCCACCCGCCGAGAGAGGGCGAGCTGAGAGGCCTCGGAAGACCGGGGAGAAGTGGGGAGGCGCCCGCGCGTGGCCTGGGTCGCCCCGGGGAGGAGCCTGCGCGGGGGAGGGTTCTGCGCGAGGGGCGGGGTCCTCTGGTGGAGGAGCCAGAGCGGGGCGGGGCCCCCGGGGCGGGGCCCGCGCGGGGGTGGGGCGGATTGCCCCTCAGACCCCGCCCCCGGCCCCCTCGCCGTCGGTGCTGCGCTCCCGCCCCAAGGTGTTCTCCAAATTCAGGCCGAAGTGAGCTTCTGCGGACGCGATTACCTCGCCGAATCCCGCAGCACCTGCTGGTCGGGGTACCCAGCTAACGCGTCACACGGAGAAAGGGCCGGCTTCCAGGGCGACCACACCGCGCGGCCCGCGGGGGTAAGAGCAAGCATCCGAGGGCCGGTGCGGCCCCGCCTGCCTCCCCCTCCGCAATAGGCGGCAGAAGAACGCGGTTTGGCGCGGATGCGGCGTCTCAGAGCCGGGGGGCTGCACCGGCCAGGGATCCGGCGGGAGGTCGTGCGGGGCAGGGGCCGATCCGAGGTCCCCGCCGGGCGCCGCGCGGGGAGGGCGTGGAGAGGAGCGTCCAGCGGCGGGACGGGGCCCCGGCCGCCCAGCACGCGCCTCCTCCAGCCGCAGAACTCGCGTCGCTCGTTCTTTAGCAGTTCTACATGCAAAGCAACGAAACGTCTCCTGACCTCGCCAGGCCGAAGCAGAAGCGACGGGCAGGAAGCGACGCAGATTTTCATCGGAATGCCAACCTGCCCCGGCCCAGCCCGCTGCCTGTGGCGCCTGGAAGCTTTCCGCGCCCCGCCCCGCCTCCTACCCTGCGTCCAGGCCGTGCCGGGCCCTTCCTGCCCATACCCTGCGGGCACGTTTTCGGAGGCCGTTCGCAGAAAGACCACCTCCCCGCCCCTTATTCTCTGCAAAGGCGGCTCCAGCGAAATCCTCGACAGACCGCAAATATACATTTAAATGTTACAGTCCCCCAGTTCCCCACTCTGCCCCACTCACCTCCTCCTCGGTAACACGTTAGCGCAAGGCCCGTGTGCACTCGCCTTCCCGCTCTGGCTTCAGGGCAGGGGGCTCTGGAAGGAAGGGTGTATGTGTCGAGGGGCGTAGCGGGGTGGGGAACAGAGAAGGTTCTGAGGGACCGAGGTCCTAACCTAGGAGAGAGTAGGGACAGCAGAAAAGCAAGGCCGAGTAAAGACCCAAAGTGGCCTCTGCGGGAGAAACAGCAGGTTTCCACTTTGATGAGCGGGAACACAGCGCCAGGCCTCGATGGATAGCAGCGTTAGGTTGGCAAGAATAATTTTCAAAGATTGAAATGCGTACCTTTAATACCTTGTTTTCTTGCTATAACACTTTTAAAATACGTCAGTGCATTACAGTTCTTGATTCTATAGAGTTAAACTAGTTGGCAAAAATAATTTTAAGCTGTTCTACATAAACAAGTACGGGACTTAGGGAATCTATGGTGGAAAGCAAAGATGATTTTAGTTAAGAGCTCCACAGATGAGAATGATAGCCAGTTAATAAAACCGCCTTCTGGGAGTCTTCAGTTTGAATATTCTGATCTAGATAAGCAAATTCTAGAGCTTCTTGCCACCTGGAACCTTATGACCACATCTCCCTGAGCAGGGCACAGGGAACAGGCTTCTTTTGTCCTGACTGTCACAGGGCAATGCCTGTAGACACCTGCACCCTCCCCAGCTCCCAGGTGGCCGTCCAATGGCTACTTACCAGTTTTGTGAAAACCGCATAGGGAAGGGGTTAGGTGGCTCTGGAATTAAACCATCTGTCTCAGTTCTTGCCTCTGCCACTTACTGTGGGATCATGACTAAGTTATGGAGGCCCTGTGTCTCGAGTCTCATCTGAAACGTGACAGTGATAATGAAAGCGCCCAGGGCGGAGGGGAGGACCCCCACTGAGCACAGTCAGGGGAGCCGCCTTGCTGCCCCTCAGCCCGCTCTCTTCTCCTGGCCTCCAGGCGCCCAGGCCTTCCTGCCCTTCTCTGCAGCAGGAAGGAAGCTGGGCAACAACAGTTTAAATGGCTGAGAACCGGGAGAGATTGTGGGTAGCCCCGGAGAAGACAACAAACCCACAGCCTCCACGAAAGCTGTGAGAGGGCCTGGCTGCAGGGCACTATCGTGGAGGGAGAAGCAACTGGTTGACCAGTTTTATTCCCAGGAACAAACTAACAATACCAACAATAAAATAATGATAGTAAAGGCACAAGAGATTTCTGATTCTACTAAGCAGTAGCAAATTAGAGAAAACTGCTTTGCTAACATCCTTCTAGATGACAGGCCTCTATGTTCTGACATGTGTTCCAGCCCAGCCATACCGTGAAGATGGCTCAGACCCGTCCCAGCTGTAGGGAAATGTCAGTCTGTATTTTAAGTGGTGCTGAATTCACACTTCTTGGTGTTACTTAGACCCCGGGGCCCCAGAACAAAGTGTAGAGGGTCTAGTTGCCTTCTGTTCATTTTGACATAAGTAGCTCTCTAGTGAAAAGGGCCCCTTAGGAAGCCCCTTCCCAGGCAGTCTCCATCCCCCCCCCCCTTTTTTTTTTTATGCGGTACGCGGGCCTCTCACTGTTGTGGCCTCTCCCGTTGCGGAGCACAGGCTCCGGACGCGCAGGCTCAGCGGCCATGGCTCACGGGCCCAGCCGCTCCGCGGCATGTGGGATCTTCCCGGACCGGGGCACGAACCCGTGTCCCCTGCATCGGCAGGCAGACTCTCAACCACTGTGCCACCAGGGAGGCCCCCAGACATAACTTTTATATGCTCTGGGATGCCGTAAAACTCGTGTGACTCCCTTTATTGTGATAAGCACTTTACTGCGGTGGACTGGAGCCGAGCCCACAATGTCTCCGAGGTGTGCCTGTGTAACATGCTTTGTAAACCGAAAGGTGCCGTGCAAATCTGGGTAATCCCTTCATGAACCAGCTTTATAATATGAAGTGGTTTTTATATTAGTCAGAAGGATCCATATAAGGTTACAACATACATGTAAGCTCACTGTTTGTAGAAGCAACACAGAGATGTTTATGCCGCTGTAATCAGTATGGCTGGGAATTCACGTTCATGCAAAACAGCTGTTATGGCTGGGATTTGGAAACCGGTTTTGTGTGGGTTATTCACTAGGGGTGCAGCCAGGAACCACTGTGCCCTCCCCTGCCCGCTCTCTACCTTGTGCTACATCCTGGAAGGGTTTGTCTCCGTTGCTCTAGCACTCAGCACTGACCACAGCAGGAGGCAAAGCTGGTGAACCCAGAAGCAGCCCAGCACCACGAAGACCAGTAAACCATGTTTGGGTGCAACCCCAAAGTGGTTAAATGTTGTGGCATTTGCTGGTTAGCTATGAGTCTGAGGTTCCCAGAGCACCATTAGATCATTCTACTTACCCTCTGTTCTCTTCTAGGGGCTCCCTTAAGAAATTAAGTGCCTGCGTGTAACCTTATTGCACGTCAGAGAACTGCTTCTGAGATTTTCGACATTACACTTCTGTTGAGGGGGCTCAGAGCACCACAACCATCGTGGCTTTTAGGGATGCCCGAGACAGAAGCTGCCACAAAACCTAAGGTGCCTCTCAGGACAGAGTCCCTGGGTTTAAACGGTGACTAGGTGCTTGCAGGTCAGTGGCTGCCCAGCAGCTTGGAAGGGGCTGGAAATAGAGTCCACCTGCTAGAAGTGGGATCTTGACCTAAAGAAGGGAAAACTGAACCTGTCATTGACCTCACAGCTCTTTATATAAAGACCCTGGGCCCACACTGGTGCAGTCTGAGCCTTCAGCAAGCCATCATCTTTTTGCTGGAGGAGGGTCCCGCCTCTGTGCTGGTGGCTGCTGACTGATCAGGGTGGTGGGTGTTGAAGGCTAGGGCGGCGGCAGTGATTTCCTAAAATAAGACAATGAAGTTCGCTGCATCGAGTGACTCTCGCTCTCACGAACGATTTCTCTGTAGCACGCAATGCTGTTTGATAACATTTTACCCCCAGTAGCACTTCTTTCAAAATTTGGAGTCCTTCCTCTCAAACCCTGCCACTGCTTTATCAACTCAGTTGATGAAATATTCTAACTCCTTTGTTGACATTTCAACAATCTTCACAGCATCTTCACAGGAGCAGATGCCATCTCAGGAAACCACTTTCATAGCAAATCCACAAGAAGCAAAATCCCTCAGTCATCAGCTCTATCATGAGATGGCAGCAGTTCGGTCCCATCTTCAGGCCCCACTTCTGATTCCAGCTCTCCTGCTGCTCCCACCACATCTGCAGCCCTTCCTCCACTGAAGACTTGAGCCCCTCAAAGTCACCCATGAGGGCTGGAATCAACTTCTCCCCAACTTCTGTTAATGCTGATATTGTGACCTCTTCTGGTGAATCACAAATGTTCTTAATGGTGTGTAGAAGGTGCCCAGACCCATCAGAGGAATCACTGTCTATGGCATCTATAGCCTTAGGAAACATATTTATTAAATACAAGGTTGCTACAAACATTCTATTTGTAAAACAACACAGTATCTTTGAAACACAATAAAGTGAAGTACGATAAAACGAGGTCTAGGCAGGTGTACACACACGGAGGCCCACAAAGGTTGCATAACTCGTCCACAGATGCACACTGGCAGAGTGAAGTCAGGTTTTTAACCCAAGTCCCTGCTAAAAGTCCAAGCCCTTAGCATCCGGTGCACTGCCTGACACAGAGGTGCTCCCTCCCCCAGCCACCCAGGGATCCTCACTGGGAACAGACAGTCACCAGACAGGCTGTCTCCCTGGGCTGAACCTGGACCAATAACCCCATCTCCTGCTCCAAGGGTGTTGGCAAAGCAGTGCGCGTACCCAGGTCTAGGCCGTAGCTCGCTCTCCTGGTATGACCCAGGGCACTGGTAGGAACATCAGATGAGGGAGCCAGTCCCCGCCTGCCATTCACAGAGAAAACTGTACCCCACAGTCAGCAGGCCCAGATCAGGCCCACGGTGAACTTGACACTCGGGCCTGGGTCTTGCCTGCCTCCAGTGGACAGAAATATTGGGGGCAAGAGTGGCTAGAAAGCAAGAGAGCTGGTTTCTAGCATACAGACAGCTCCTGCTTGCTGAGCACCCGCCCTGTGCTGGGTGTCCTACAGCCACATACTTCATACTCACCGCTGCCTGTGACTGAGTCCTCACTGTCCCCAGAGACTCTGAGTGGGCTCTTCCAAAATGGGAGCAGGGGCTTCCCTGGTGGCGCAGTGGTTGAGAGTCTGCCTGCCGATGCAGGGGACGTGGGTTCATGCCCCGGTCCGGGAAGATCCCACGTGCTGCGGAGCGGCTGGGCCCGTGAGCCATGGCCGCTGAGCCTGCGCATCCAGAGCCTGTGCTCCGCAACAGGAGAGGCCACAGCAGTGAGAGGCCCGCGTACCGCAAAAAAAAAAAAAAAAAGGGAGCAGATGCTCACCTCACAGATGGATGGATGGATGGATGGATGATTCTCCCAGGAAAATGGAGGACTTTGATAGTTTATCATTAACTCTCATTGATCTTAAGTATGTTATATTTTTGGTAGCAACTGAGAATAGAAACTCTCTTTTTAAAACGGCATGACTTTTGGATTTTTTTTTTGCATAACTACCTGGCACGCAGCAATTCACCACTTTTTTTTCATTTAGTATATATTTAGTATAAATTTTGAAAATCCCTTTGGATTTTCTAAGGAAGGTGATGAGCTTGAGTTTTGGTTGCACTGAACTTGAAGTGGGGCAGAAAGCCTTGAGGAAGGTGTCCAGCAGGCACTTTGGCACCAGAAGTATGAACCGGTTTAAGGTGGTGATAAAAATGGTAGCATGCATATAATAGAAAAGAGGCTGAAGGAAGGAATCTGGGGGCTCCTACATTTAACAAATAAGAGAGTGTCAAGAACAAGCCAAGACAGACGACGGGTCGTTAGGGAAACAGAAAATCAGAGGCGCCTTCTGGAAGCCACTATTCAGAAGGCTGGCGTGAATACTGGTGTTAAGGTAGATGGAGTGGAGAGGCCAGGGTCAAGGAAGCCTTTAATTTGCAACTAGAAAAACACCGGCTATTGTATCCTCTTATTGAAATTCTACATTTAAGCATTTTCAACGGTTCATGCACACAAAATAAATGGCACGTTACAGCCTCGGAGGAAGACAGAATCAAGAAGGTTTTGGGTGGGGAGAGATTTGTTCACGCGTCCGTCTGTTTTTAAGGATGGAAGAGACTTGAGGCAGTTTGGAGGCTGGAAAGTGGGAGTTAACGGAGATCGAGCTAAAACAGGGTGGGCGTGTGGGAGACTGTTGACTAGGGGACAGTGGTGAGGGCATTTCTGGACTTTCAGGATTTGGCCTGATTCTGAGCTAAATGGGGATGAGAAAACCAAAGTGGCCAGGAGAGGACAGATAACAAGAAGCACAGTCCTGGTGCAGAGACTGTGGACACAGAACTGAGGGACGACGAAGGTTGGGAGGAGCAGAGACTGAAGGACCCACCAGACAGCCGCCTCTGGTACAGCCAGGGTGATGCTATTTTCAGTACCTGAACCCAGAGCCCTTCCACGGAGCTCCAGGAGGCCCAATAATGCTGCCGCAGGGTAAAATCTGTCCACATTTAAAATAATTTCTGACTTATTTTACTCTGGAATTAAGTTCATCTCCAAAAGCGTCCAGCAATAAGTCCACAGCAATCTTGGAGGGGGGAGGGATGTAGCCATTTTTTCAATCCATTCCTCAGAACTGTTGACCCTTAAGACCAGACCAGATGATCACAGAACCCCCCACCACCACCACCATATATTGTGTCCAA